AGTGGGAGAGGAAGCAAGAGAGATGTTAATGAATACATGGCAGTATTTTCATGTTGCATACAGTAAGAAAAAAATATTTCCCACCCACCCTCTCTTTCTCCTTTTCTCTCCTTGCTCATGAAGGCACACAAACAGAAGGTACTAATCAACATACTTGAGTTTTCAAAATTAAAAGGGGGAGAGTGGCAGACAGAAACGATGAGGGAGATGGGAATAAGATGCTGATTATACTACTTAATATGTAATATGTAAATTTGATTAAGTACATCACTTTTCCTCATTTGGAAATAAATGAACAATTCCAAATAGGTCATTTGAATGCACACATAATAATTGCCTCAATTCGACGTTTGTACATAGGCATGTGCATCCTCACATTTGTTTTTCTGAATAATAATGATAATGAATAATAATGCTTTATAGAATAAAATAGCTGTGACTTTACTCATTTAGCATATTTAGCATAACCTCTCATACATTAGTGCCAACAGTATGTATGAGCACTTACCAAAGAAATACGATGGTATTTTTGTAATACCTTGGAATAAAGTGTACACTACTGTTCAACAATTTGAAGTCAGTAAGTTTTTCTCCTTTTTTGTAAAATATAATAACAGTTTTATTCAGCAAATATAAAATAATTAAAATAATCAAAAGTGACCATAAGGACCCCAAACTATTGAACGGTAGTGTAATTACATGCATGAATTTGGTAATCATTCAAAACCTCATCGCACCACAGTACTATAGTAGCCTACTGCCACAATATTTTGGGTAATTCTTACTTACATATTATGAAAGCACACGCTACAATTTCATATTTGCAGTGGTAGGGTGATGCTAAATAATTGTAATTAAATTATGGGAAAGTAGAAGCAAGGTCTTATTGACCTACATTAACCTGTGTGGTCAGAGTTCTTTACATGTTTATTAAGACAGGCATCTACATCTGTGTGCAGGACCCCGTCCCCATTATCGGCCCTCCAGTTATTAGGCTCCTGCAAATGTCAGCATGTGTCATTAAACATTAATAAGTGTTGATACGATCAGACTTCACAAGTGGAGTGCAGCCTCTATCACCGAGAATGAGGAATGATAGTCTCCCATTCTCTACACACATATTGACTGAAACCAACTCTTTAAAGATTAATAACATTTAAGGTCTCTGAATCAGGCAGAGAGTTTGAAAGGCTACCATTTCACTGATTGAGCAGGTACTTTATTGAGTAACCCTCATATGGCATTTGATCTTCTGTGTGAAACTGCAAATGCTGAGAGACACAGGAGGTTCTTAATTGCCTGTTTGACTTTTATCAACTGGGATGAAGTCAGTCAACCTTTCTCAGCATGGACTAATTGTATATATTAAAGCAGCCTGCACTTCTTAATAAATTCACGTAATGAAAAGACACTACCATACACCAATTAACTATCAGAGCAAGTGGCTCAGACTGATGTTAATTATTCAGAACAGCAAACTTTTTTAATCAGGATGAATCAAAATACAGATTAGTTTTTGCGTTTTCACTCTGGCCTAACAAACACCAACTTCTTTGGGAAAGAGCAGGAAACCCCAGAGTGGATTCAAAATTGCAGATTGCAGAACACTTTGCCTTCACTCGAGTTGAAACAATTTTAATTTGCCAAGAAAAAATAATACAAACTGGCCAAATATGTAAATATGAAATGCAAGATATATTAACTTCAGGATATTGTATGTGTTGTGTATTGTATATGTATAATAAAAGTAATACTTCTGCCATTATAAAAAATAAAATAAAATATGTACACATGAAATGTTATATGCTTTTCTATAAGAGGTATGAATTTTGACTGCTGAGGTTGGGAACAAACAAAGCAAACAAGCAAAGAGGCTGAATCTTTTTATTATTGTAATTCAGACTTATTGCTCCTCTATTTTAAAGTAATACAATACCCATCTCAGACTGAAATAATATACAGCACTGACAAGATATACAAATACGGGACACAAATAAAATAAATTAATTTTGAAATTGTAAAAGTTGTTTTGTCGATATTTTCAGAAACTGATCGAACCAGTATGCATGCCCTTGGTAGAGCCGAATTCAGATTGGCTGCCGTTTCAAACCACAGGAATATTAGTGACTATTTACATCCCTGATCATATAAATTAATAAACACAATGATAAATCTATTGCCCTCTAGACTATCAGTGAGAAGGCCAATGTAAAATATGTGCACAAGTATGTGTACTGGTGGATAGACGGTTACTCTTTACACCACACAATGAATGCCAATAAGTTGGTATTAATTTATATGGAAATCATGCGATGCATAACCTGGATTTGGATTTTATTGCACATGGCCTCTGGCAGACTCACACCTGTAGGTATGCTCTCTCAATCTCGCTCTTTTCCCCTAGCACCATGGGAATATTTGTGCTTTACTGGTTAATTAGACAGTGCCCTGTTGACCTCAGAGTTCAATGTGCTTTAGAAACCCTGTGCTGATTAGTTGCCAATGATACTACACACTCGTGGACAATAGAGACCTACCAATGTCTTTTAATTTCCTTTATAGAGGTGAGCGAGTCACACTTATCATCTAACACATCTAACACAGTAATGGTTTCCTGCACACACCTTTTACCTACAGTCATAAATAGGCCCAGGCGGAATCTGCTGACTTTCTCTTTTTCTTTGACATTTTCTGCACAGATTTGTGGGAGAAATCTGAGAAATGGATTTAAACAGGGCTGTAACCACAAGACCCCTCAATAATCAGATATGGCCAAATTGCCAACCTCAGTATTTGATATCCTTGATGCTGTTTTGCTGCGCTCCATTACACACTCTTTGGTTTGTTGGTAGGATGACAAAAAGTTACATTTTTAGACTAGTCTGCCACAGGGGACTAACGATGCTCATCAATGTCAAAATCATTGAGATGGCCAATCAAATCAAAGAAGGCTTTATTGTTAACAGAAGACAAATGCGAATTCCAGCACAATGCTTCAGTTTTAGAGGTGAAAGAGTATGAAGACATAAGTAGCTAACAAGCTAAACGAATAATCAACAACTGTTTTATGACAGAAATGTTTTGAATTGAACATACAGGCTTATTTACCTGATTCATGAATCATATTTACCTGATTCATGTAAATCATAATTGAATGTGACAAGACAAGAAACATTAACGGAGCTGTTTTCAGCATATTAGGCAGGTGATTTAGCCTAAATTATATTTTAGCGTATTTGAAACAAAATTTCATGGAAATTCGTATCTATTTCTCGTTTTGGCAAATTAGTGGCGAATTTGTACATTTTATACTCATTCGTAGTTTTTTAAGTGCGGGCCTTCATGCTTCCCTTTTTTCTGAAAATCATACATTTTCATGTGATTCACATTGAATGAATTCACCTCATTTTCCCATGAGATCAGTTGGGATTTTCGCAATTTTCGCCATCAGCATTGTCCGCTGATGTCCTGATTTTCGTGTCCGCACAGATTTGTGTGTAGACAACAGCGCATATATGCATTATTTGAAAGCTTGAAAAGATGGTGTTTGTCTGTTGAAAGGCTTGCGTGCCTTTCTGTACCTGGGCCTTAAAGGGATAGTTCGCCCAAAAATGAAAATTAGCCCATTATTTACTCATCCTCAAGCCATCCTAGGCATATATGACTTCCTTCTTTCAGATGAATCCAGTCGGAGTTATATTAAAAATTGACTTTGATCTTCCAAGCTGTTTAATGGCTGTCAGCGGGTGTTGCAGTTCATCAGTCCCAAAGAAGTTAAATAAAGTGCATCCATCCATAATAAAAAGTGTCACACACGGCTCCGGGGGGTGAACAAAGGCCTCCTGTAGAGAAACGATGCGTTTCTGTAAGAAAAATATCCATATTCAAAACGTAATAATCACTTTATTCTAGCTAGCGCCAACAGTTGTACACGGAAGCAGCTCCGGGAGGATGACGTAAGATGTCGGCTTTGCGCATGCACCGGTTAGT